ATATGATCCAAATTAATTGGATTAATTTTCTTTTGATTCAGCAATGGGTTTAATACATAATGCTAAGTCATACACAATGCTAAGCCTGAGCTATAGAAGGAGGGATAAAACCCAGCCCTATCCTCAAAGCACTCATATCCAGGAAACAAAAGACAAATTACTTAATATTACATGAGCACCAAGTAAGTGTATGTGTGTGTATGTGTGTGTGTGTGTATGTGTGTGTATGTGTGTGTTTCTTTCTGGAAACTTTCTTGGTTATAGCTTCTGATATCACAATCACTGTGTAGGTTCCTTTCTGCTTTGCCTACTGGAGATTTTCACCTTTGCCTACAGTGGGTTCATCGTGATATTTGCTTTATGAAATGAAGGCAAAGGAGGTTAGAGTTTGTATTCAGAAAGTGCTTTGCCAGCTCCTTCGTTGGTTCCTCTCAGCATTTGTACCCACTGAACTCTTGAGTGAAGAGTCTCTTTTATGAGTAAGAGGGCAAGTGAAGAAGTTACACAACAGCCCACAAGGATCCCCAGACTGTAATTAGCCACTGCCCTTTTAACTGAAGCACAGTACCTTTGACTTACTCACTCTTCCCTAATGGTCACCATCTTGAAGGTAAAGAGTCAGTGGTCAGTCCTTTTGCACACATATGCAATGAATGGTACAGAGTTTCAGAAACTTTGCCTCTTAAGCCTAGGAGAGGGCCAGGCTGCTGGTGGCTCATATCTATAATCCAACTACTCAGAAGGCTGAGATCTGAGGACCACAGTTCAAAAGGCAGCCTGGGCAGGAAAGTCCATGAGATTCTTATCTCCAATAAACCACTCAGAAAATTGGAAGTGGTGCTGTGGCTCAAGTGGCAGAGCGCTAGCCTTAAGCTGAAGAGCTGAAGGACAGTGCCCAGGCCCAGAGTTCAAGCCCACGATTGACAAAAAACAAAAATAAACAAACCCCAGGAGAGGAATGTAAAGCCATTCTCTTTTTAAGTGCTCTCACTAACCCATGAAGAAAGAAAATCAAACAAAGTCTGTCTACATTCATGATTTTCACCTTCAGATGCTAACCCTCTCCAAACCTAGGTACGAATAATGCATGATTAAAAGAACTTTGCTTCAGATAAAATGAGAGCCTGGGCACAAATCTACTCCTCACCTTACCTAGATTGTGCAAGCTGTGAAAACCCTCCCTCCCACAATGGCTTTGTCTCTACTCATTATCCAGACACAGGTCTGTTTCCTCCTCAACTCAGAAATCATCAGGAAAAAAAAAGCCCTCATTTCCTCCCAAAGAAATAAACACAGGCAAAGGTCAGGGGAATGCATTCCATGGACACTGTCCATAGTGGAGCAAAGTGCATGGCAAGCAGCCTGCACCAGAGGCCTGTTCCCGTCAGCATCAAGCATCTGGGGCTGCGTCCCCAGAGTCAAGTGAGACCCCCTTCCCTACAGCCCTGCAAACACATTCTGCCTGGTGTGTGCTCTTTTCATGTGTCTATGGTCTTTTGGAGAAAGTGCTTTACTATCTATCCTGTCTGGTTTCACATTTGTTAGGTAGCCCAGATTTGCCTTAAACATCCAATGTTCTGCCTCAGTATCCTGATTTGGGATTGCAAGTGTGCAACACCCTGCCCAGCTAGTATGTGTGTATGCTCGTGTACACACGTGCATGCGTTTGTATGCAATATTGGAATATTTCTAAAGAAAAGCATGGTCATTGTAGTGGGGATCCTTTTCATTATCAAAATCAAACTGAATATCATGTGCCTGTTGGTGGGTGGTATGCTCCTCCAGATGGCAGGAGCATCCTAAGCCTCTTCTATGTCAGTCATCAACTTCTTCCTCTGCTCTGCCATTGCTTTGCTGCCATTGTTCTTGTCAGACCTTCATCATCTCTGAACTCTTTCCTCTAAGCAGATTTCTATTTGCTCATTCTATGCGTCATGATCCATTCTTTCTAAAGTCAGATAGGAGTCCATGGCTTCCTTGCTGTAAAGTACATACACAAGCATGAAACATGAATTTGTAGCCTAAACCCATCGCTCCTTTTGTCAATTAATTTATGAATGCAAATTTTACTAAATGAGCTAAGTTCTAAGGGCCTTACTACACGGATAGGACAGCATTGGGGATGGAGAAGGGAATCCAGGAATGGGAGGAGACTGAGGCCAGGCTGCAGACTTTCTTACCTTGCATGCATTATGTGCTAATAAAAACATGCTAAAAGCATTGAAAAATAAGAAAGCAGCAAGTGCCCTTTGTACAAAAATGCATATCTCAAGATACCTATAAAAACAAAATCCCTCAAAAACATCTTCATATTTTATTTGGTACCTAAAATGGAAACTTGGATCATTAAACACAAATAGAAATCACGTCTTAAAAAAAAAATCACGTCTTATTTATTATTTATTCCCTTATCCCATGTAGCGCCATGTATTGGATATAGCAGATTTGCAAAAAAAAAAAAAGATTTTTTGAGAATTATTTGCCAGTATGAACTTTATTCAATGAAACTAGGTCTGAAAAAGCAAGTGGTATAATTTCCTACTAGTTTTAAAAAAATGATGATCCCCAAACACTTTAGTTAAACTCAAATTGTCTTCATAAATGCTCAGGGAGGATATTGTTCAAGAAACACTACGACTAAGGCTTTACCATACTGAATTTTAAGCTGTTTCTAAGAACAAAATCCCTTCAGACTAAGAAACCGCCAATGGTATATTAAGTACCATTCTTTCAAGTATTAATTCATTCAGTGTTGTTGAAGTTACCAAGGGCCTTTTCTATGGGTTACTGCTACTCTTATTTATATGAAATTATGAGAGGAATCAATAGTTATTTTTAGATATTCTCAATTATGCCATTTCTGTAGTGATGATGGGGCCTGAACACATGAAGACGGGAAGCCGCTGCCGCTGGTTCAGACCTATTCTTTCAGGTTTTTACACGTGCTGTGATGGGGCCTCACTACCCTACCTCATTAGGGCTTCTTTGATCATGTTCCTTGACTAATTAGTGCCTTGGTATAGAACAGTGAATAAAGGTGGACAAAAGTCTCTAAGTGGATTTTGTCTTCTGTGCGTGCATGTGTGTGCACATGAGTGTGCATGTGTGAATGCATGTGTGTGTGTTTAATTGTAGATAAGAGTCTCATGGACTTTCCTGCCTGGGCTGGCTTTGAACCTCAATCCTCAGATCTCAGCCTCCTGAGTATCTAGGATTGCAGATATGAACCACTGGCACCTGTCTGGACCTTGGCTCTTGCTAGCCCGGAACATGTATCTGTATATGTCTGCTCTGTATTGTATGTGCTCTGAGTGACCACGTGAAGTTGTTTTGAAAGGAAATCAAACCAGTAACTCCTGTAGTTCCCAGTGCCTGTGTGTGTGCACTTACCCCGCTGATTATCTTGTTGTGGCTGTCTTCTCATCATTTGGATTGTTTTTTTTTTTTTTGGTGAGCCTTCCTGCATTGACCCATTTACTGTTATCAACCCTCTATATAGTCATCAGATGTCCCCATGGTTCTTGCTTTGAAACACAGCATTAACTGCTATTAGTTCGTTGATTTGTTGCCTTTGCATATTATGTTCTTTAATGTAAGCTCCACAGAGCAAGCAGAGCTCACTCACTCTGTGAAATCCTCAGCCCTTAGCACAGCATCTAGTTCATATGTTGAGTAACCAAAGAACCTGGGTGTCACAGTAGTCCTCTAAAACAACCTTCCAAACAGAAATATAATGTGAGTTACACATATGATGTAATATTTTCTAGAAGCCACATTAAGAAAATAAAAAAGACACAGGTTAGTTTTTGGAAATGTATTTCTTATACCTCAACATGTCTTGTCATCACAAAATATAATCAATGTAAGTAATTTTCATGATATACATAATGTTTTTATATTGACTTCAAGAAATGCTATATGCTATATATTAGTGGTACATCTTGGAACATACTAGATGTGTTTGTGGGAGTTTTTGTGTATGCAAACATCTTTCAAAATTCTTTTATGGCATGAGAAGATTGAAACCCATGATTACTTAAGAAAAATAAGCTCGCAAATCAGTTACTATGTAAAAGAAGAAAACAGGATTTTTTTTTGAAGGTAGATCTCTGGACTCAAACTTGCAATCTCTCTGCTTTAGCCTCCTGAGTGCTGGGATTGCAAGAATGCACTGTCGTCATATTTGGCAGAAAACTAACTGTGATAACTTGTGAGCATATTATTTCAGATAATTCTGTTAACATGACACTGTTTATCTGGATGGACTTCGAGCTTAAAACATATTTCAGAAACGGAATAAATTTTCTTTGTAGCATACTATGAGAGTATGCTGTCAGGAGCATACTTGGGCTTAGAGCTGTGACTTGGAAGAGGTCTTTGGAAATCAATATGATACTGGGAGTTACGGATGAGAAGAGTGAGATTATTTTAATTAAGTTTTCACCAGTTCCTTGTACATGGGCTGAATGCACTTTTCAATTCATTAAAAAACATTTAAAATCTGAAATAAGAAATCTAGCGCACTTTATAACAAATTCTCTCCCTTCTTTTGTTGCAATTGGCAGGTTATTTCTAGGGCAACACTGTCCCAAAGAGCTTTTGCAATCATTTAAGAATCTCCAAGGCAGTCCTTTATGTTTAATTCAAAAGAACCACATAATTATAATATCATTAAAATAAAAACAACCCAAGAAGGTCAAAGTTTATCTCAACAATAGGGTAAATACATATATGGGAATAATAAGGGGAAGTTCGATGTACTAGGCATTGAGTAGTCAAAACAGGAACATTTAAAATACTCTGTTCATAGTTAAAAATAATTTGTACTCTAAGCCCAATGACCACTTGCCAGGGAGAACCAAAGTTGAGAAATTTCTATTAAAAACATGACTCAGAGGGAAAAAAATACAGAGGCTAGTAATGAAGGAAATGATCTGATATCGTCTCCAATTGGTTCCTCCTACAATCACATGTTCTGGGCATCTTTAAAAAGGAGTTATCTGGACTCAGGAGAATCATAGCACCTTCTTGAAACCTGCAGTCTCTTTCTCACCTGGAAGAAGAATCCTAGAAGGTTCACAAAATGTGTGATGCATTTGTAGGTACCTGGAAACTGGTCTCCAGTGAAAACTTCGATGAGTACATGAAAGAAGTCGGTAAGAAACTGTACTTGGATGACTGGATTTGTATCTTTTTTCTCTTGGTGGGAAAAGGGCTTAGAGCTGGCTTTTCACCCTGGAAGCACTGGCTAGAAATAGTAAGGCTGTTTTCTATATTGAAGCTGTACAGGCAGCAAATGAGATTCTATTTCTAGAAAAATTCTGAACCATAGCTATAACTAATGCTTCCTACAGGTGAAACAACCTGAAAAATTGCATAAATAGAATTGTGAGCTATAGAATGACAAGACTTCTACTTTTTCTGCAAAGCTTGAGTGTCTTTGGTTTACATAGCTCTTTTCATGCTATACTTTCATCCCCTTTGTATGTAAAATATGCAATAACTTGGTAAGAAAAACATTGATTTTGCAATATGCAATGATTTATCTTTAAAATTGAAGTCACTATATTTCCTGTCTTAGAAAAAACTTCCTTAGGGGTATATGTGTATATATATATATATATATATATATATATATATATATGTATATGTATATATATATGGTATATATGTGGTATATATACACATACATATATACATATATATGCCAATTATTTTCTTGTTGATCCATTAAGAAGTACAACAGTTTTATATAGAGAAATATTGATTTTGAAAAGATATTCTCTGAAGAGTTTAAATACTTCTTTGAGTAGAAAGAACATGACATGCCATAGAATTATTGAGTTATTAAAAATACAGAGTTATATAAGTAACATACTTTCCTTTTGATAGTAGAGGCTTGCAATCATTTAAGCTCTGCTAACATCTCCAGTGTGTCACTGGGTGAATGTCTACCAGATAATTATTGCAGTAGAGCTGTAGAGGTAAATTAGGGAGGCCCTTCTACGAAGGCTTCAACTTTGAGAAGCCCTTTCTCAACCACAGGGTTAGATCCACACCTGGGAAGAAATTTTAGCCACTATCATCATTATGGTTTAGATTTAATTATCTAAATTTCAAAGACTTTACCTTCTCCTTAATTATATAGAATATACTTTTGGTTATCCATAACTACTGATTTTTCCCCATTTTTATTTTTTTTTTGTCGGTCGTGGGGCTTGAACTCTGGGCCTGGGCGCTGTCCCTCAGCTCTTCAGCTCAAGGCGAGCGCTCTACCACTTGAGCTACAGCGCCACTTCCGGTTTTCTGGTGGTTTATTGGAGTTTGGAGTCTCACAGTCTCTCCTGCCCGGGCTGGCTTTGAACCGAGATCCTCAGATCTCAGCCTCCTGAGTAGCTAGGATTACAGGCGTGAGCCACCAGCACCAGGCCGATTTTTCCCCATTTTTGAATTATCTAAGTAGCTGTACAAAGCAATTTCAATTCCGCATGCTAATTTATGAGTTCAATGCATCTTGAGTGATGTCATCTCTTCCCTTAGTCTTCCCCTCACCATAGATCCCAACCCATCTATCCCTTCAAGTTACCTCATTCCATTTTCACACTTGTACATAGATTATGATGACTGTTTTTACCCACCACTCCTCTCTCCATTTATTTGCCCTCGTCCCCTCAAGCCCTTTGTTTTTCTTGTTTGTAGATGAGAAGGAAATTCAGAATTTCAGCACAACTAATTAGCTGTTGATTATTTTTTAAGGTCTTTGCACTTGTGATCTGTATATTCAAGTTCTAAAACTACATCTAAATTATAGGACTGGTAAATGGAGTTAATAAAGTATTTCCTGGGAGAAACTGGCAGTTCTAAGGAAGGGTGAATGGGTAGGTATTGCCTCCAGTGGTTAAATAAGGGAGTAAAGGAACACGGTGATTTTTCCCAAGCTCAACCTGTCTGGACTCACACTCCACTTTGCCTGCCTTACTAGTCTGTGTTGCTCCCTAGGTTTAATGTTGTACATTATATCAGAGCCAGCACTGACCATATATTAGCTTCCCACCTGTGGTCACTTCTTAGGTAGGAAGCTGAATCAGGCCCTTCGTATTACCTACCTTACCCCATATTTCTTTCTCAGTCACTCCTCATTTCCTATGTTTGGCTACTTTTAGTCAAAGAAATGGTTTAGATTTCTGTGCATGGGCCAGAAAACCCCCACATCTGTAATGGTTATAAATTCTGTATAACACATGCAGTGGCAGCAAAGTAACACTGTTCATATTAGGTTGTAAGTTGTTGATCCTACACCTTACACAAGAAAAATGTATTCCTCTTTAAAATAAACAAATAGGAGTTGGCCAGGGACTAGTGGCTTACACCTGTAATCCTATCTACTCAAGTGGCTGAGATCTAAGGATCAAGTTTAAAGCCAGCCTGAGCAGGAAAGCCAATGAGACTTGTATTTCTAAGAAGCCAGAAATGGAACAGTGGCTCAAGAATAATGCCCGGTCTTGAGTTCAAACCCTAGGATCAGCACACAAAAAACCCAAAAAAACTAGGAGTTGAAAACTCAGGTAACTGAGATTCAAAGTATCAGTTTCCAAACTATTCTAAGAAACACTAATTTCTTTTTTAAATATATTTTTATTGTAAAGATACTGTACAAAGGGGTTACAGTTACACGAGCAAGGTAATGAGTCCATTTCCTAATGAGCATTGTTACCTCCTCCTTTGTTTTTCCATCATCCCCTACTTCCCCACTTCCCCAACTCCTCCTTCCCCTCCCACAAAATTGTAGTTTGTTTTCAACATAGTGTCTTGTACATCTCATTGTTACAATAGATCATCCTGTATCCTTATTTCAGCATTTTGTTATTTCCCTTTCCCTCCCCAAATTAGAAAAATGTATATATAAGATGCAGGACACTGGAATCAAATACATTGACAGCAGGGGTTATTAAATTATGAAATGTTTCCAGTTTATGCCTATGCAATCCTTCTTTAATGTTTCCAATAACTTTTGGGCAATTTTATCACCTAACATGGTATGAACATAGGAAAGATTTTTTCTTCTGGAGAAATTAATCAAAATCTTGAATTCATAGTGGAATAATCAGGGAAAGAAGCCTAGAAAATTAGACTTGGCAGTAATAGCGATGAGATGTAATTTTTGTTCAGACAAAATAAATGATCTTTCAACCATTAACTCTATATTAGTTCTATACATTCTGTTTCTGACTTTGAATTTTCAAAAATAATTTTTAATCCAGGCACTGGTGACTCATATCTGTTTAATTTAAGAGGCTGAGATATGAGGATCATGGTCTGAAGCCAGGCTTGGCAGAAAAATCCAAGAGACTCTTATCTCCAACTAACCAGCAAAAAACCAGAAATAGAGGTGTAGCTCCAGTGATAGAGTGCCAGCCCTGAGCCAAAAAGTCAAGCCCTAGAGCAAGGCCCTGAGTTCAAGCCATATTATGGGCAAATAAAATACCTTTTAATATCTAAGAAGGAATGAAATGATGCCTCAATCATAAACAGGAAAGTGATTATGGAAACATCTATTATATACATATAAGCATGTCCATATACATGTATACATACATGTGTATATTCATGCATGTTATATGTGTATATAATGTGTGCGATGTATAGTTAACTTAATCTCTGCAAGTATTTCTGTTGAAAATTAATACTAGGTGTTCCAAAGAGTTGGATTCCAAGCTACCAATGGGGAAGTTTGAGGAATAATCCCATGTCTCTTGAACCTCAGTTTTTCTTTAAGTATTAACCCAATATATTTACAGCAAGAACCATTTAAATAGACCTTGAGAAATTCACTGGTATCTTTTTCTTCTCCCCTGTGCTCATGTGGATGCATACACATACAAACATGCTCACCTGTACACCCATACAGCTCTTTGATTTAGACAAAGATGTAAGTGAAAATATCAACCTGACAATATTTTCTTTTCCTAATGGTAGGAGTGGGCTTTGCCACCAGGAAAGTGGCTGGAATGGCCAAGCCCAACATGATCATCAGCGTGAATGGAGATGTGATCACCATTAGATCAGAAAGTACCTTCAAAAACACAGAGATTTCCTTCAAACTGAACCAGGAATTTGATGAAGTCACTGCAGATGACAGGAAAGTCAAGGTGAGAAGTAAACAAATCTGCTACTTATTGCCTCTGCTCACCAGAAGCAGTTTCATAATAACAGGAGGAAAAACTCTTCCATCACAGGCCAAAGATTCCAACTAAAACTCATATTGCATGTGTTTCCTTATGCAGTTGATTGATTATCTCTTTTTTACTTAGTCATCTTTATATTAAAAATAATTAATGTAATTTGTTTGGTATTTAATACATAGAGTTTTTAAAGCAAATTAATTAAAGAAAGTTTTGGGTTTTTTTTTTTTGTTGTTGTTGTTGTTGTTTTTTTGTTGGTCGTGGGGCCTGAACTCTGGGTCTGGGCATTATCCCTCAACGCTTCAGCTCAAGGCTAGCACTCTACCAGTTGAGCCACAGTGCCACTTTTTTTTTTGCTTCTGTGGTGCTGAGGAATCAAACCCAGGGCCTCATGTATACAAGGCAAGTGCTCCACCACTGAGCCACCTTCCCAGCCCCAAGAAAGCTTTTTTTTTTTTTTTTTTTTTTTTAAGTTTATTAAACTGGGTGCAGTGATGCATACCTATAACCTCAGCTACTTGGGAGGCAAAGGTAGAGGGATTTGGGGGCAAGGCATCCTCAGCTATATAGAAAGACTCTGTCTCAAAAATAAATAAATAAGTAAGTAAATAAATAAATATTTTTAAGTGGACCAGGATTCAGGTAATTAGTGGAGCACTTGGCTATTGAACCTAAACCTTGGTGTCAACCATCTGAACTGCAAATAAATAAATGATGTGTTTTTTAAAAAAAATTTAAAAGGTAGTTTATAAAGAAGAATGCTCACCTATAGTACCATCATCTCAATGTAAATATAGCTTTCTTGTTTCATAGTATTATTTTTTCAAATTGTTCTTTTATTGAATATTCTGGTGATTGCATGCATGTTGTATATACATATACACATATACATGCATATACACATATATACATATATCCATTCATATATGTATACATGCATATATATGCATATGTATATAAATACACACATGGTTTTGCCGTTTTATTTTTTTGCAGAGCATCATAACTTTAGATGGAGGTGTTCTGGTACAGGTGCAGAAGTGGGATGGAAAGTCAACCACCATAAAGAGAAAACGAGAGGATGATAAACTGGTGGTGGTAAGTACATTCTAGGGGCTTGGTTCTAGACTTCACTCCTAGGTCATCTCATGGTCAAGGAACTCACCTTTCTTGTACAGAATGATCATCCTTATTAGACTTAGGTTTCCACGCTGGCAATTGTTCCAGTTTTTTGGTTAGTTTGGCTGTTTATGTTTTGATGCAGGAATTGAACCCAAGGTCTTGGGCTAGTTGAGCACACCGTTACTACTGAGCTAGTGTGCAAGGCCTCTCCAGGCTGCCAAGTTCAGCCCAGGCCTTTTGCTTTCCGTGAACCATTGATTCCTTGACACCTCCCAAAGCCTGTCTCCAGTCATGCCCTACCACATTTTGTTACACACTCCTCCTGGATGTTACTCTCCCATCATGATTTGAAAGCTCCTGTAGGAAAAGGATCATACTTTAATATGGGGGACATATGTCTATATATATAGGAGCTCAGAACAAATGTGTTTTGTTGATTCTTGTTTCTTTCCCAAATGTTGAGAGATTCAATAGTTATGCCCATGGTGTAGTCCCATTGCTTGACTGATAATGTGTTTGCATCTATGTGTAGGAATGTGTGATGAAAGGTGTCACTTCTACCAGAGTTTATGAGAAAGTCTAAGCCAAGGGACACAAACCTGGACTAAAGCTTGCATCGGACACAGCAACACTCTATTGGACATTGGGTTCAAAAAAGATATTATTGTTTTCCACTATTTGACATGCAATTAATTTTTCCCTAAGCTGGATTTTATTGACTGTGGTTGTGTTTGGTTAAATAAATAAACTTTTTAGATTTAGAAAGTGGTGTAATGGTTTCTTTCTTATGCTAGATAATTTTGTACTCATACTGAATGAAGAAAATCTTTGTATTATTACACTATTTTGGATATAAGTAAAAAAGCTGTTTCATAATAGCTCATGGTAAGTAGGTGCTATAAATGATGGTAAGTCCTTCTAGAGTACATTGTCTCCTCAGAGACACCTTAGATAGTTTTAAGTCTACCTTGTCTAGAGCTTCGTGAGTCAGCAGTACATACGATGCATGCTATAAAGAACGAACTAACAAACAAAATCCTGTATAATTATTTTTGAAATTTTTGAGATAGTATCTTCCTTTGTAGTCCAGGCTGGTCTTGAACCCATTATGCAGCTCAAATTGGTCTCAAAACTTGGAATCCTCCTGCCTTCCAGCTCGTCTGTAATTTTGACTCTAAACGTTATGAATAAACCAGGTGGCTTAATCTTCTACGGTTTTAGCAAAATGGCTGAGGCTGGCTGCTTTAAACAGAAAAGTTTATACAGCTCAGTTTGGGGGCTGGAAATTAATCATTGAGCAGCCCATCAGATTTCAGACTCTGGTGAAGATTTTATGGTGGGTGGCATTCTGGGGGAAGCCCATCGGAAAGGGAGATATGGGCCTATTGAAACAGGAAGCCAGAGAGTAAGAAGGGGCCTGTCTTATGTTCCTTTATAACAATCTACTGTTGCGACATCTAGGTAGAGTCCCACTCAGCCCATCGGTGGGCATTCCTCCTCACTACTAATCACTCGGTGAATGGGCAGATCTAGTCCCCTGCTAGTAGGGCCAGCTCTTAATGTTTTCAGCATCTTAAAACCACCGATTTCCAGGATATGAAAGCCACACCCAAACCCACACACAGGCTGCCTCCAGAACCTGTACTGAATTCTGTGCACAAAATTTAGTAATTTTTATTCCAGAAGATTGGTGAAAAGATAGTTTTTGAGTAAAGATTCAATCATCATTATAGTAGTTTCCAAACATTTATCTTCAATGCACTTGCTTTTCTTCTTCTCGCCATAATTTTTTAAATTACTTCTGGATTCTCCCAATAAACCTCCCTCTTAAGTCTCTATTCCCTCCCTTCTTTTCCAAGTCCTTTACACCTCAATGATCACACAGTGTAACTCTTTCTAATTGGGACTCCGACTGATTAAACCTTTAGTAGCTCCTATTGTTTCCAGAAAATTTTTAATTGCCTTAGTATGGCATATACACTCTGCTTTATCTTGTCTTTTTTATATAACTCCCAGTCTTATCATTGTCCTGTTATTTTCACACACCTTGCTCAATCATATTTTTTCTTTCTTCCTTTGAAACCCTCTGCTTCTTGCTCAGTAGAATTCATTACCCACCCACCCCCCTCTTCATGAGCCTTCCCTATCTCTTAATGTTGCTATTCTGCTAATCCTGTATTTAAAAAAATAAGCTAGGAGCCAATTCTTTGCAAATGCACCTGTGAATTGAGTTATTTTTTTTTAAAAATAATTTAACTCTTCTTATTTTCCAGTTGATTTAAAAGCATAAGGTAGCAAGATGCAGTCCAATATTAATTTGATAGAGAAGTCTGTTTTACATCCCAACATTTTTACTATAAAACTAAAGACCTACCTAAGGAAATACCTTTAATTAATAATTCTCCAGTTTATATTGCCTGGGATCCTTTTGAAGTTCACCTCTTTTCCATTGTCTGGCATTGCTTCTACCGACACATACAAAAGAAGACAGAGGAGATGCTGCTCTAAAGAAGAGAGGCAGGATTGAGTGAGGACATCTCAGACAATGTGTGAGGACAGACCTATCTGCCTATGGCTCACTCATGTCTTCTTCAGAAACAGAAGGGACCAGGGGAAGCAATGGGCCAACACAGCAACTCCCAGCACATCCCCAGTTCCTACCACTTCCACCTCTGAGCTGTAATATGGGGGTTAGAAACACTCCCTTCAGCTGGGCGCTGGTGGCTCCCGCCTGTAATCCTAGCTACTCAGGAGGCTGAGATCTAAGGATCATGGTTCAAAGCCAGCCCAGGCAGGAAAGACCCTGAGACTCCTATCTCCAATAAACCACCAGAAAACTGGAAGTGGCGCTGTAGCTCAAGTGGTAGTGCACTTGCCTTGAGCTGAAGAGCTGAGGGACAGCGCCCAGGCCCAGAGTTCAAGCCCCACAACCGCCAAAAAAAAAAAAAAAAGAAAGAGAAAAGAAACACTCCTTTCAAGGTCTCAAACATTACTGACTTCAGAGTTTATATGAAAATTACTCCTAATTTTTGAGCTAAGACCCAATTTCTTGCTTAGAAAAGTGATTTTTCAGTCAATGACTCAAGTCATGGAATCTTTCTTGTCAGGAAAGAATAAAGATTGGTTCCCCATTGACATGTTGGCCTCATGAGATCATAGACAGGATCCTGGACCACAGAGGAAAGAGAAGAGGTTGAAACCTTGGAGTAGCAATAGAAAAACTGTAAGGACAATATGACTGGAGCTGCAGCTGAGTGGAAGAGTGCTTTCCTGGGTTGCACAAGGCCCTGGGTTCAATCCTTAGCACCACAATAAAACAAAAAAATCATAATCTTTCTGAGCCCAGCCACCACTGGCTCACATCTGTAGTCCTAGCTACTCAGGAGGCTGAAACCTGAAAGATGAATATTCAAAGCCAACCCAGAAAGGAAAGTTTGTGGGATCCCATCTCCAGTTAACCAGTGTTAGACTAAAGGAGTGGCTCAAGTTGTAAAATACCAGCCATGAGCAAGAAAGCTGAGCGAGAGCACAAAGCCTTAAATTCAAGACCCGTTTCTCTCTCTCTCTCTCTCTCTCTCTCTCTCTCTCTCTCTCTCTCTCTCTCTCTCTCCTTCCTTCCTGCCCCCCCCATCTTGCTCCCTCTCTCCCTCCCCCCCTCACATACCCACACACACACACAAAGAGAGAAGAGGGGAGGGAAGGGGATTTGGTGGGAAAGGAAGAGAAGGGGAGAGGGGAGGGGAGGAGCTTTCAGACTTTAGTGACAATTAGGTTTGATGGGGTCTGTGAATTAGATGGTTGTTATTGGTGTAACATTCCTAATTTTGATGGATGTACTGTGGAAATATATGAAAGGCGCTTATTCAGAAAGGACTAGAGCAGTATTTCACAACTTACTCTCAAATGTTTCAGCAAAATAAAAGGCTCCTTATCAGAGAGAGAGAGATGAGGAAGAGAAAGAGAAGGGATAGCAAGGCAGAACAGGGAAAAGGGAAGAGGGGCAAATGTGTTGGAATGCTGGTAAATTCCAGTTTCCTTGTAACTTTTGAATGATTCCAAAATTGACAAAACAAAAACAAAACAAAAATAGAGTTGGGGTGGAAAGTTTTGTGAAACAATTGAAAGTATCTATTATGAAGAAATTAATTCAATTAAAAAATGATTCCCAAGCTAATCAGCCTTTTATACAAACCTTCTGCGAGAGGAGTTTCGATTTCTACATATGGATTAAACATTGTTTAGTGTTTAAACTGTTTAGTGCAAAACAGAATTGGAAGCTTTCATACTGAAAATTTTTTTCAGTATTAATTCAGCTTCATTGCTTTAGCTGAAAGAGTTGCAGTAATCAAAACTGAATGCAAAAGTTCTCTGCAAAGCTCTGAAATGCATTAGAATTATCAGAAGTGATGTTTCTTAAAAAATACATCATTTTTGCTCAGTAGATATAATATTAACCAATTTCTCTAGTAGCAAGTGAGGTTCTGAAAACTTCAACTGCACATCTCACATTCAGACTTGATATTAACCAGTACTAAATTTCAAAAGAATTATCTTCCATAATAGACAATGTAATGATACCGTAAGAGGAGGCATTTATAACAGTGAATCACTTTGTAGCTTTAGATTATTTGATGATAATACATATATACTGTGAAAATGCATTATGAATATTAACCTCTGCATCCAAAAATATAGACAATCAAATTAAATAATAAACCTAGCAAGGAATGTGATACCGAAGAGGTATCAGTACATAAAGGAATAGCACTCTTGTTGAGAAGACAGGTGTATAGTAATTAGGAAGAGATACCACAATCCCTTTACTATCCCAGGATGACCAGAACACAAGGTTAATCATAGCACCAAGTCAGGAGAGGACAGTGTGCAGAAATGCTGTCAGTCATCAAGAACAGTCAAATAGAAATAAATTCTGTTTACATTTTTGTCATTCATAAGACATCCACTTAACATTTATGATATGCCAACCACTATAGTAATAATAATATTGAGGTGAGTAAAAAAATATTGTCCTTGTTGATGAATTAACTTATATTTGTCCTGGTTTTACTATGTAGCTCAGACTGATCTGAATTAATAATCCTCCTGCCTTCCCCTCCAGAGAGATAGGATCACAGGCATCACCACCAGGTCCAGCTGTCTTTTCTTGCTGATTTGAGAATAGTTCCTGATGCAGCTAAGGAATATCTTGCTGCAATTCAATGAATTATGTTCTCCAATATATAAAGGTCTCGTTGTATCACATAATAGGAGGTCAATGAATTCGAGACTGAATCATCAAGGAAGAAAATAAGTTAGAGACAGATCTGGGAAGATGGGCTGGTTCTGTACCTGAAACAGGACAATTAACCATTTTGTGAAGCTATTTCAAACGTGTATCCATTGTGCAGGCTTAATTAGCAAGTCACAAAATCTCAGATACATTATTTTTGCCAGTATCAGAGTTTGAATCCTGTGCCTCACGCTGCTCATCTTGCTTGTTCAACTGGAGCTCTGCCACTTGCATCACATCTCTAGCTTGGCTTTTTGCTGGTTACTTTGGAAAGGAGTCTTGGACTTTTCTCATCTTGAGTCATGGTATTCCGGATCTCAGCCTCCTATGTAGCTATGATTACAGATGTGAACCACCAGCTCCTGGCCCAAATTATTTAATGAATAATGATATTTATGTTCTCATATCATAGATCTTCCAGAAGTAAAGCATTTTTTTTCCACTTCTTTATTCTGCCATCCTGTCTGGCTTCATC